AAAAAAAGCCAAGTACTTCACAAATAGGGTGAAAATTCTCCTGCCCGGGGTCTCAAGATTCCCCCTGTCCGTTTGAAAATTACGGTCTCTTGAGGGAAAAAGGCCCTTCCAAGATTAGCCGGTATTTTTCCGAGTCTGGCAGGAATGAGGCATTTCCCCTCTTTAATGTAAAACCGGTTTTCCCCTAATAAGAGGAATCACACTCTAGCGTACCTGGCGGATTTTCCCCCTTTCAACTGTAGGAGGAGATTCCGAGTTTTAACCGAAAATTCCCTTATTTATGTGATTATCTTCTTTACCCATAGAACCTGTAAACTCACATTCCCTCTCTTCCTGGACTTACCAGTTTCTTGCTCTTCGTGTAAATCTTACTGTTCACCAATAAGCGGAATTATCCTTTTCCACCATGGCATCGTAAATGTCATTTTACGATCACAAGCCGGCAGCAATGATTCCAACCTCTTGGTTGTAAATTTACGGATTTTTTTTTTTACAGTTTAATGCCTGGCCACATTCCCCCAACAATAGGGGTAATATGGCCTCTTGGGACCCATATGAAGAGGTCCCAAATACTCTTTTCCCATTTACTTTTCTGCACGGATCTTGTTGGGAAAAAATAAAGGAGAGATCAATCAATATTTTCTGAATATTGGCAAAGTTTCATTTCACCTAGACGAGACGCTATAACCTGATTTCATTTTTGGTGTCCATATTCACCCAAGTTACCCTATCTTTCGTTTGGTTGGTCTCGCGCCTCCAAAAACTTCCCAAAAACTACCCAAGGGGGTTGGTTGGGGGAAATTCCAGAACGAGTTTCACATCTCCCAAAAGCGAGATTCAATGATCTCCACAACCCCAGGGAGATGGAGCTTCAAATTTGCTGGAGTGATTCTGTTATGAGAGAGGAAGAAGCATGCCAAATTTAATGGGCCCGCGCCCATTGATTTTCGAAAAGTTTACAATCGACCTAAAGTTCGTAACGATGCAACAGGGAGGTGAAGATATGAGAAAACATACGCGATTCGAGGATTGCGATTGAAGAACGATAACGTTGAAAAATGTTCACCCATGATTTGCCGTGGGAAACGAATGGAGAACGGCAGACCTATCCCTCCAACTTCTTCATATCTTGAGTACCTTGATTAGATGAGGGGATTCTAGCGGTATGAGGTACTGTGCGATGGACGGAGTGCTCTTATCAGCTGATAGCAAGATTTCCTCCTGCCACTCCCTCTTTCTCACACTTAATCCTATGGTAAAAAATAAGTATTAGTATACCCCGTAGAATGTGACGTTGAATTGGTATATAGGTATTCCAGCTCAAGTGGTGAAATTCAAGGAACTTACCTTGAGCTTTAGACTCGGATTTCTTTGCAAATGAACTACGCATGGGGGCCATGTCGGCCTTGAAAATGGCATTTCGCACCAGCCGAAGCTGTTCGTGACGAAGCCAAATGTTTCTCAGAAGAGTCCCAGATATGTAACACTAAAGACTCAAACCTTTCTGTTAATTTTCACTCAAATGATTAAACTCCATCACCTTAGGAGCCCTGGAATGTGACATATAGTTGGTTTTGTGAGAGTCATATGACACCTGGAAGGAACGTGACTCCAAGGTGAAGTCTGATTCTCCCGAAATATCCGGACATGCATGTTTCCTGGAGGCCAGCTTAACAGTTCTTGTTAGAAATCCAAAAACACGTCAGATAATACATTGTTGTTTACAGATGAGCATATAATAGAACGAGGGATGCTCATAGGTAAATAATGAGATATGCTCAGGCCTGCTTTTCAGTGAAGATTCCAATCGCTAGTTAATTCAATCATTCATTTTCTTCCCACTTTGTTTGCCTAATATTTACTCGTGGGAATGGTCAGGAGGATCTCCCAAAAAATAACATTTCACGTGAGAGCCTTACATGAGAGCCTTAAGATCCTGGTTGATGGAAGAACCGATGAATTTCAGCTTAGCCTCTTTCCGATGATACATGTATGCCTAGGGTAGATTTCTTTTTGTTGGAAAGTCAATCATCTCAAATCTCCAAAAATCATTTTTTTTCTGCGTGGAGTGAACCCTTCGTCAGAAACTCCATTGGAAGAAGGGTATCCCCGAGGCTAGGCCGCCAAGTCAAAGTCTTATCGAGGAAGCACTGACGGGAACAACTCGCAAAGCCTTTTCTTTGTTCTTTATTCACCTGTTTCACGCTAACCATTTTGGGTCGCAATTTCTTCCCTGATGTCAGGTACATGATTCACATAATTCTGTGTTATTTTCCTCCTCCCCGTTTTGGCGCGACGGCTTCACTTCCACCGGTGTTCCATCATGATCGCAACTGCACCTGGTACATCTAATGCAAGGGGCGCACTTTGCCATCTTGCATCAAAGTGAAATTTTGGTGCTGGATAGTGCCTCTGAGCTCATCGCTTTCGGTAGTTCGGTAAAGATTAGAAAAAGAGATATAGCGCTGGAAGAGCCCCCCCGGGCACGATCTCGATCTCGGGAAAAACAAATTATCAGCTAGGAAGAAGAATTCAACTAATACATTTCCCCATTTCAGAACAGCCATGTAATCAATAACATTGTATGGATACTCATGGAATATGAATAATGTGATTTTATTTAATGCAAGAGATTGTAAGTATATCTAATGACTATATAATAGTTTAAGCATTTGAGACATAGTCTCTTTCATTCCACCAAGGAGAGGCCTATGGTCAAGATATTTGTCGTTGAAATTCAGAAGTTGAGACATGCAAAAAATGTCACGTTCCCCATTGTATTCCACACTCCAGCCATCGGTAGTTCAGAGAGTAATCACCTACCAGCTCACATTTAGCAGGAGTTAATAGCAAGCCTTCCAGCAATGGACTTCTAGAAAACGTTTGAGAAAACGAGAATTGACGATGTTTTGCCATTGCTCATCGTTGCTTTCTCTCCTCCACCTCTCATTCCATTCAAAGAGAGAGAGGGAGAGGGACTCTGTATTTCAAGGATTAAATGTGACATTTCAGGCAGGTCGGAGTCAACATAATTTATTCGATTGTAATTGCACCAATATTTCTATTTCCATTTTCCATTAAGCACTTTCTGGCCCCGTAGAAGTTGGATCTTCATCAGGTGCACCGATTGCAATTGAAGTAGCATCTCCATTTTCATCACTACCTGAATGCAAGGGGGGGGCCAAACGATTTTTGGAACCCCGCCAATTTAACCATTGAAGGAAGAGTGACGAGGGAAGAACGGTGAGGCTGCTTGCCCAAAACCCACAATCTACACTGTAATATTGATGCAACACTGTAAGAGCATCAAAGATTCGACATCCATAATATTCCAAGTGGAAGAACATTGCGAGATTGAATCAGCGTTGGCTGAAATTTGGGACTAGACAGGTCTCGACTTGGCCAAATATGCATTGGGCATGCGCTATTTGGTTTGTTGTGGCAGGGTGTTGCGGTATGCCGGTGTCTTCACCGAATCTCGGTATTTGGTCCTCGTGACGTTCTTTTATATTATCGCCGCGGTATGAAAACCTTGGAATATCGTCCATGTCCATACCGTCACCACGGCATGGATACCGTCAGACGCCGTCGCCGCGGCGCCATTCCAAGAGCCATTTGTAATAAAAAATACCTAGTCGACTAACCTCGTCATCTCCATCCACAGTGACACCCACAACAATGCCCTCCAGGAAGTCGCAGGGGAGTACATGAAACGGAATCGAGGACCAATATCAGTAATTATTGAGGATTTGAATTTAGCCTCGACTGTGTTTTCTGACTGTGCATCAGTTTATCTGCTCAATCGAAAGACTCTCTCTCTTCGCGAGGTTTCTCCTGGGGGTTCGTAATAGAAGCAGCATAGACTCTATGTCAAATAGGATCGTACCAGGAGCAAGTGGACAATGGAGTGACTGCAGGCATTGAAAATGCGATGGTATCAATCTATATAGCCATTCGCGTCGCTCACAGGACTAGTTTTGAATTTTCCTTCGAGTTGGGGCTGACGAATCTCATTGTCAAGTCATTTTGATTAGTCTCAGCAAGAAATGAAATTTCTTCTCTCCTTTTTTTGGAGTCACTATTACTCTCCTTTGTCGAATAAACTGTATCTTGGAATTTAAGTATGTTCCTGGTGTCACCTGTCGAGAGAATATATATCAAGATGTATCGATCGAGCAGTACCAGGGGCGCATGCCGGTTGCATATGCAAGTTAGCTGGCTGACTCGACGATTCTCGTTTCGGGGTCAGAGAACCTTGCATGTCAGAATGTTTCGCCAGATGTCTCGCCCGACAGCTGTTGATGTAAGGTGGAACGAAAAATGTCGTCGCGATTGATATCTTCAACATCGTGTCGATGCTGACATTGCACTGAATCGACATCAACATTTTCATCGTCCGCTTCAACAAATTATCAACGTGGGGTAATTAATGGGTTGTTGAGTTAATATTGGCAATCCGTGTTGTTACGCTATCATTCTTGGAAAGTCAATTCTTGGATGTTCCAAACAATCGGAGAATGTCGAGCTTAATTTGGGGAGTTTAGGCGTGTATCTCCATAGTAGCATTATCATGTTTGGATGGCTAGATGATTCTACAAGAATGGTAATGTAACAAGGCGATAAAGGGGGGGTGTGGTGAATTGTTGATAAGTAACTTCACTGTTTGTCCCCGTTACCTTACTTGCAAAGGTGATCCGTGCATGATTCAAAACTGCCTCATGTAATCTTAAAGGATCAGATCATTCATTTTTGCTTTTGCTTCTTCGAGATATTTGATCCTCTGGGCTTTCCCAGATGTGCCTAGTCTTTTCTCGATGTCAATGAAGAGGTTCAGGTAATCGGAGACGCTTGGTGGATCTGGATTATTCAGCATCTGAATTAGTGCTGCCTTGGCCTGTATGTCTTTCATGTATGCGATTCTCTGGGTTAGACTGGTTCTGCCTTCTCTAATATCTGTCTCGATCATTAAATCCGCAAATTTAATGACCCCCAAGGGAACGGGCCTCAATGCTATTTGGTTGAGCGTCTGTAAACATTCGCGTGCTTTGATGGTTGAATCCAACATGTTCGCCGATTCCCTATTCAATGCCTTAACGATTTCCTTCCTCAGTCCTTTCGGAGTCAACTTCTTACCAGCTGCTGCCTCATATTTCGCTCTCAATTCCTCAGCAGTTCTCGTCACCTCTTCCTCATACAGTTCGAGGCGATATTTGCTTTTCACATGCTGGTCTGGTGGACAATGGTTGGGACAAACAAGACAGTGTGGCACTGCACTTTCCATCATCCCGATGCCCATCGCTTCACAATTCGTCTCCATCTCGTATTTCATGCATGGGTAATGGCAAGTGAAGTCGCATCTTAGGCAGTTCATGGCACATTCATCAGGGCTTAAGTTCACTCGCTTCTCTTTCAACAACTTGAAGGTGTATGTACTGGTCTTTCTTCCGCCAAACCTTGATCTGTATCGTTCCAGAACTGCGTGTTCTTGTCTAAGTTGTTCCAACCTCTCTGAGCCTGTATCGAAAAATGAATGCATCAAACAATCGTGAATAGAAAAACCTTGGATCTAGGATAATATTAGCCCAGGAAAAGCCCATATTTAAATCGAAAATTGGGAAGAAATATATTAATGAAACAGGACATATACTGGGATTGCAAAATGGTGCAATATTATTGCTTAAAAATGAAGCACCAAAATGAAGCACCAAGTTATTGAAGTTATTGTCAGGTTACGTCATCTTGCTGTCTGTTCGATTTCGCGTCGTCGTCGCATGACGCTGCTTTTTTCTTTTTACCTTTGCAGTCCTATATATAGCTATCTTTTCATTTTTCTGCTTTGAAATCTTAAACCTGCTAGCCACTGACATAATCTATTAATTTTTTGCTACGGAAAAACATGTCTCGCTATGAGTCTGCGGAAATCATTGGGCGCAAAATCTTAGGATGGTTCACAGACAGCTTTTAAAGGTAAATTAAAATGCCAATGAGGCTGGTTTTGGACTAATAATTTCACTGTACCTATAGATTGCTTTCTTATCTTAGTGTCTCTTATCCATATACTGTACGTAGAAAAGACGAAGTCAATAACACTATTTCTGGGTAAGGCAACAAGTTAGGATGACGGTAAAATGATTAATTCAAAGTCTCACAGTCAGCTCAAGCCAGTTCTGTGATATTGTGGTCGACGTAAAAGAACCAAGAGGATGAGGGGTGGATTGCATGGAACTAACTCTAGCCGAATGGGGCTTTAAACCTCCTTTGTCACCTCTAAAGGAGGCTTAAACCTCCTTTAGACTTCCCTTAGATGAGCTAATGGCCGTTTAAAGCTCCATTAAGCTAATGTCAGCATCATGCAATCCACATAAGATCTTCATCGCCTCAAGAGGTGCAGAATGGTAAAATTGCCATATGAAGGTGAGCATTTTACAATTACCACCGAAAGAAACACACGTTTGTGATGCATAAATTCCTGAGATTCACGAACTGGATTGATAAAATGGTAAAATGACAAACGCCATAGTAGAGATACCACTTGAGACTCATCCGTTGCGAGGAGGAAATGTTTTTTTTTTCACCACATGAAGGGATCGTGTTACGTCGTCGCCACGGCATGGCGCTAGCCAAACACTCCTTTCGTTTTGTTTGCGCATGTGGAAATGTTGTTATTATTATTATTAAACACACTGATATCAAACACACAGAAGAAAATCTTAAATTAGCAAGTGACGTTAGCTTAATCCATGCTGTTTGCTATTACCGGAAAAGATTTGTAATGATCTCTTACCAGCAATGATTTGTGGCTGTATGTCCTGTAGAGCTGTCTGTAGGCGTCGTCGCTCCAATAAAACCTTGTTTGTCAGCATCAAACTGACTGATATCGACTTCCGAAGGTCTTTGAACAATTTTTTCATAAATCTCATGTTCGTTTCCCAATGAATCTTAATAAATTCGCCTTCGTCGTCATCAGGACGATGGAAGAGAGCAAAATAATTGAACTTATAATAGGCTCCATATGGGATGTCTCCTTCTTTGAGGGCTTGTAAGACTGGCGGCCTTTTCCTGTCCGCGAATGTTGCTAGAGCGTAGATATTGCCTTCCATATCCCTTCCAAAGACTGACATCATGGAATCAAATATGTACCTTTGTGTGGGCGTGAGTCTGGGCAAAGCAGCCTTGACGACGAAGCCGATTCCATGAAGTTGATCCACGCCAACGTTCCCAAAATTGGAGAAGAATTCTCGGATCTGGTCCCTCAATTCTTCATCGGCCATGATCCCATTTGTTTGTCCAAACCCAGGGGTATCGATGACAGTCAAGGTATAAGGGATAGCAATGCTCGGTTGCCTGTGTAGGGTGTACATTGTGATCCACTGCGTCTGACTATGAGCTTGCCCTCCTCCCCTTTCGTATTCGTCTGCAATCACTTTGAAACGAAAGTCGTCTTCCCACTTGACTCTGTACACGTAATTCACCATCGCGTCGATGAAGGTACTCTTTCCTAATAGGGAGGGAGAGAGAATGCTTTTGACTAGAGTTCATACACAATAAAACCAGTAATATCTCAGAATGAAATGGGCACAACCTGCTCCTGTGTCTCCGAGGAGCATTAACACCTTCCCCAGCCCGTCTTCGGATCCTCTTTCCCCGATCTCATATTTGGCTAATCGATTCTTTTTATCTTCCATCACCTTCTTCCGTGGGAGCTCATAGATAAAACCATCAATGTTTTTGCAATTTTGCTTGATCTGCGCCAGTGTCCGCTGCCGCTCCAATTCACTCTACATATAGAGAAAATAGAAAATAGATTCGAAACAGAACGTATTTAAAAAGATAGAGTTGCATTAAAAAGTGAGTAATATCCCCCAAAGGATAAAATTCTGCCCTCAAATGCTCCTATTTTGCAGGTAACCTCATTTGAGATGATAAAATTTAAGATAAAAGTCCTTCCATCTCCTTGGCTCGGTTAAAACAGGGCAGTTTGACACTACATTGTTTTCAACTCCCCTAATTACCAGCATAGAAAGGTCAAGGGGACAAAAAAGCACTTTGGGTAGAAAACTAATATTGCATTCACATCAGAACTTATATTGGGTAGTGATAGGAATGTTCGAAATGTGAAGTCAATACATTGACAGTGGCCAACACATGCATTAATTTAAAGCCATGTGACCAAGGAATATGCTGAATCATTGAAGAAAATTTCCAAAATTCATAAGAATGAATAGCCACCCTAACCCTTCTGAGCCATCAAATAAATTCTAGTTATCCTTTCCTAAAGGAACCCCTGAATTTTTTCCAACCTATATTTCACTCGCTTTCGCTAATGGAAATGGTATGGTATTTTTCCATCTTGAAAAGACAAATTTTGCCTTTTCAAAATGGAAAAATACCATACTTCGACGGAACTTCGACTGATGGTTCCAGCCCGAATTCCAAATCCTGTATCCAGTCGGTTTTCGGCCAATTGTCCAAACTCGGACCGAACCGAGAGGCTCACTTCTCCACGCACCCAGTCGAATATGGGATAAATTGCCTACTTTCATTTGAAAGTAATGCTCTGCTCCGCTTTCAACCTAGGATTTCACTCATTTACTAGCGAACGTATTAATGAATTTAAAATTTTTCATTATCCTACCAAGGTTTCAAACCCTTTCCACAAAGGGACTCGGGATCATAAGAGAATGCGGATCCACGTCGGAGGTGGTCGGAGATCCTAATAAAAAAATTTTCATTATCCTACCAAGGTTTCAAACTCCTTCCACAAAGGGACTCGGGATCATAAGAGAATGCGGATCCACGTCGGAGGTGGTCGGAGATCCATTTCCTGCCAGGTTGGATTCATCGAATGCGTGATTTGGCCGTCAGCGATATTGATGGCATTTAGCGGGGGGAGATCGAGTATGTTCTCGCATTAAGTTGCACCATTTCGCCCTAGCACAGTAGTATGGGGAAAATGCCTTTCACGTGAAACACTTGGCTCTGGAATAACATTGCTTTTCCCTAAATGAAACTTCAAAATTAAAACGAATCTCGTTACTTCCGCATCGCAGACCCTAGGTCGTTGTCCAAACAGCTCGTTCACCATATTATCGGAGATACGATCGCCTGGTAATCGCACCGATAGCTCAGATGGATCGTCCTGTACTCGTGGAGATGTTTCAATGCCCACATCGAATAAATCGAATTTCGTTAGCAGCAGCGCGCATGTTTTCTGTCAAACGAATCGTTCGGAACGACGATCACAACGGGCACATTTTGACTATGATTTGACCGCGAGGTGCTTTGCGGACGACTGGCAACACTTGGCGAATGCCACCTGAGTGGTGGCATTCACCAATTGCACAACTACCTTCCAACCGAATCGGTCATCGTCCATTGAGTCTCGCAAGGCCCGTTCTACCGTTGCCAGCGCTTCAGAGGGGGCCTTCGTCGCTTCATCCCAAATGATGATGTCGGTAGCTCGAATCATCGCCTGATTTTTGCGCCTTGAATGACACGTTCAGTATGTTAACTCTTGTGGCGTATAGGAATTGTTTGCCAGTGCCAATTGCTCCATCGAAAACAAAGAGCGACGCACTTCCCGTTCCGAATTTTCCTGCGCCGCTGAATGAAAACCACTTCGATCCCATCATCCTACTCCTACACTCTATATTCTACATTCTACTATTTCCATCATTCTATCTCATCATTCAACTCCAATGACTTCGAATGGAACACCGTAACATGATTATGACAACAACATTGCCGAAGTCTTCATTTCCAAGCGGAGAAAGACAAAGCCAAGCAGTGCGAAAGAGATCATTCCACAGTCATAGGGTCGAAATAATGCGGAACGGCTGGAATGACGTTGGGCGCCCCACAATACGGCGAAGGTATGGGCTTAAAGATTCGACGCGCACGCACGCTACTCTCCACGCAATGTTAACAGGCTCATGTTGCTCTGCAACCAATGCAGCTCTCCTCTCGGTGACAATGTTGCTCAATGGTCAGGGCAGACCTTCCCCGCCTCGCCGCTCCCCCTCATCGCATCGAATCCCACTTTCATACACGTACCACTTTGCATACCACTCACGGAGATCTCCGTTTTTTTTAGTCCTTTCACGAGACATTTTGCCTAGCCTACGGCCGAAAAAGTGATAGCCTTGTAGGCACCGAGCTTTAGGTTATGGTAACTAAGGCTTACGTCAGAGCGGCGGGTCGACGGGGTAAATCGTCCAGTACGCAATGTGTCAATCTGTTTAACCCATCCCCCTCAGTCGAGGTCCTGAAAAAGGCACAGGCATGAAGGTATAACAGCTTCATGGGCTAATCATGAAACGCGCCTAGCCTATGGCATGGAAATGCAAAGGCTTGCTGGCTTATCAGCTACCTAGCCTACTGTATGTCTTGGAGAGGCAAAGGTTGTAGAGACCAGAGGCTAAACCTACCACGTAACGCCTTAGCGTATTCTAATATAGTATGAATGGATTTCTCGGTCTCCTTTTGGTTAAAATAATCCTTTGAAGAAAAGACCCCATTTCTCAACATTATGTCTAAACTTTTAATTCAGAGGTTCCTCAGAGGAAGTCTCTCTTTCCACTGTGATGTTATGGACGATTAGACTGGTTTGTAATATCATGAACATAGGCCTGCATTTATATTCGTAATCTACTCATCGGCAAAAAAAGTCACACCACGAAGGAATTGAGCGATCTTGATGCAATTTGATATACATACTCGTATAATACTGCGTCATGCAATTGCTGCTTGTTTCAATGTCGTAGGTTGAATATTCAGAGTAAACTTGTCAAACATCCCAATTTAAATGAGGTCGAAAGGGTCGTACTTATCGCCCACAAAGAACACCAAGAAGGAATTTATTAATGAAATGCGAAACAGGATCTTCTACTGTTGCTTAGTACAATGAAGCAAAGTTACAAGGTCATACGATGAATAAATGTATGGAAAACTTGCCGAGCTAGCCGAATTCCCCTAAGGATGGGGAAAAGGGCAACTACATTGATCAGGCCAATTTCCTTTTCTGCTTCCCTCCATCCACTCTGATTTGCTTTAATCGTTTACATTTCGTCTTCAAAGCCATGCCAGGGCCACGTCCACAAGGCAGTTTCGCCAATTTCTATCTATTCAACCAGTTCTATCGAGGTTGGTTAGTTGGCATGATGGAAGTAGTCCATAACGTGCATCAGGTTGCGCATCAACTGTTAACTACCGACCGTCGTTGCTTTACTCGGCATCAGAATAGTTCAAATAAATTGCCAAGAACATGCACGAGTCCTTATTTCTAATGCTCCGTAGTTGTAGTACGAGAGGCAGAACAAAAGTCACGCCGATTTGTTCTTTTATATAAAAAACTGATACATGCAGTAAAGAACTGTCAAAAACATCAATTAAATAAGGTTCCAGTTTCCCGCTCTAACAGTACTGACTCCATGGGATATCACCTTATAGCAAGACCAATACACGTTTCCAAAACGATTGCTTAAATATAAATTCGTAGGATGTGATGAATAGTTATTGCATTATTCGCCATAGTGGATGTCACACCTGCAGAAGTCTACGAGCAACTTAATGACATATGTGGTACATCTGGGTGAACAAAGTGGGCAAGCCATATGAAGGCTGAAGAAAACAGATTTGAAAGGTATGCTACGTCCTGGCACGTGTGGAATGAATGAACTGATTCATGGCGATCCACGCATTTTAGCAAAAAAAGCTGGACGAAACCGTTGGTCAGATCTTGCGCCATCAGATTTTCATATCCACGTCCCGCTCAATGATGAGCTTTGGGAAAATAACGTAAACCACGACGACAAAATAAAGGACACGATGTACATGTGGCTCTGAAGATATGAAATTGAGTTTTACAGTGACGGAATTAACGCTCGTATAAAGCAATGGAGGAATCGCATGGAAATTGATAGAGAGCATGTCGAGAAATAGCTGTATGCACAGGAGGATGCTGTTGTTTCCCTTGTGCATATTCTCGAATTTTCATTGAAAAGGAATATAGAAAATAATAATGTGCATTACTTTTGTAACGCCAATCGTATATAAAGTATGTCTCACAATGCAGAAGGTCAAAAAAGAAGGCCCTTAGTGTCCCCACAATACTACTCGGTCGATGAATATCCTCGAAAACCTCCGAACCCAGCTTCTCGAAGTTGATTTCTTCTTCCTTCAGAATCGACATAACGTTAGGTAAAATTTCTTCATATTTCTCTTCCCTGAACAAGAGAGACGCCTTCTTGGCGTTCTCCAAATGCTCGATCCGACTCAGATTCCCCTTCTTACCCTCTCTTTTCTCGGCCTGAATCAAAAATTCTATGTATTCTTCTAGAGTCAGCGGATCTGGATTGAGGGCAATTTTTTGGAGTTGAGTTTTTCTCATGTGTGCCTCTTGGATCTGGGCAAAGAGTTGAACTTGCTTGCTAAAAATGTCCATAGTGAGCTCCCTCACCTTCCTCTCTTGATCTTTCTGGACCTTTATTTGTTGAGCAACAATTGCTGAGTTTTTAGAGCTCTTACTCCTGTACATGTGTTTCACTTCATACCGTTTCAGTTCCAGCTGATGAGCCTTCCAAGAGCATTTGCATTTGGTGCATTTCACTTCTTCGTCATTATTCATGCATCTACTATTCTTTATGTCCTTGAGCTTGGAAGTGCTTGGCGGGTATTCGCATGTGACCGTGCAGTAAGTGCAATTAATGGCCTTCTCATTTCTTTTCTTATCCAAATGAATTTTCATTTTTTCGTCCTCAAACTCGACGAGCTTAGTCACTTCGCCCTCATTTTTTCGGAGTAGTATGCATTTTTCCTGTAGAACACTTATAGCTGACACGACTGCAAGAAAAATAAGCAGGTAACAGCATTCAATAATAGAGGAACATATCCAAATAGCGATCAGTGAGAAATTGAGTTCACCTGCAGGGATTTCTGCCTGTAATTTCTTCAGAGACTCCATTAGAAAACCTCTCTCATGAAGGACTTTCCTTGTCCATTTCAGACTGATTGACGCCATCCCATGCAAGGATGCCAGAAAACCTCCGCAACTTGAAAGCCCCTGTTCCCAAAACATTTTCTGCATCGGATCCATAATGCATGCGAACAGTGCAGCGTTGTTGAAGGTATGGTAGCTCTGGTAAACAATATTTGTTTCTTTGACGGTGTTGATGGCCGGAGGTTCCTGCCCATCACAGTGGCTCACCAACAGCACGAAATTGTCTTTGGTATCGATCCCAAAAAGTTGGGTAATGGCGTGACTGATGTACCTCTGTGTTGCTGTTATTCTTGAAGCGGAAGATGGCAACACGAATCCTACGGCATTGATGAAATTCAAACCATATGGAGCACATTCTTCAAAGAATTCTCGAATCTATAAGAGAGATTGGCATTTCCATTGTAAAACAAGATTTCAACAACAAAGGTGCGAAGATGCTCTTCAGTTAGAAATTTACGTTTAAATATCACAAGCGTTCCTGCCAGGAATTAAGTAAAATAAAATGCATACTTTATCTTTCTAAAGCATACCGCCTCATCAAGGAAATACGGAATTTATAATCATCATGGTATTTTTTCTGTCATTCTTGTGGGAATTCATGGCTATGAGTCTGACGAAATGCGCAGAACTCACAGCTCCGCATATTCCTTACAATTGCGTTTGTTTCTCCTTTGGGCAAACAAATGCGCAATTAACGAAAATAAGCGCTCTATGATGAAAGAAATGATTAATGCATTCAAATAATTCGTTTTCAAAGCTCACCCGTAACGAAGGTCAAACGGTCAAACTCAATTAATGAGTTTGGCAAATCTCGTGTATAAAATTGAAGTAGTTTCAGAAAATATTCCTCGTGACATATGACCTCCAGCATGAGGATTACCAGGTAAAATTTCATAGTATGTTCCTTCATTAGTGTCCGTTAATGAATTTAGTTCCGTTCTAGGGTAGGTACACCCTTATTTGCATATATATTTTCCACAAGATACATAAGCTCATGATTTCAGCGTTTTGATGCGATAAGTCCTTCAAGAAAAAGTAGACTGTATTTAGTCGTTATATTCACATACTAGTGAGTTTGTTTGCCCTTCGGGCAAACAAACTCCCTATGGTCTCGCCTTCGGCGCTCCATTACCTTCTTAAGTGATTATTTCATTCATTCCTTGCGAAATGGCAAACCCGTATTTAAAGTACGTAGCCATGGAAATGCGTGACGTATGGGGACGAAAGTCTAGATTTTTATTAAAATCATTACTTCTATGATTTACAGTGTGCCTAATTTGCAATATGTTCTTGTGTCCTTTTTGGAAGGGTGGAGAAAACATTTTGATATACTTTCCTCGTATAATCTGCGCTAAGTAGACATATTTTAATAGTAGGATTTTTCCTGTATTCAGACATCAAACAGGTACTTGTCAGGGACGTTTCAATTTTTTGTCTCTGTTTCGTTGGACCAAAAAAATTCAGAAAAATGGGACGGAAAAAAGTTCCCTGATTAAGAACAATGTATTTTATCTTTTGAAATGTAGGCTCAGGGAACTCCATGCCACCCAGTTTCAGTCTTATACGTTTCCCCTTTTTGCCGGCGAAAAAAATGTATTTGGAAAAGCAATCCACCCAAAAGCTGTGCTCTGGGGAGAAGCACAACAAAAGTTGAGTTTTTCCTTAAATGAACGTATCGTCCGTTATGCGTGCGCCAGCTACTTTTATATTTCTGCCCAATTCGGTAGGATATGAAAAATAATATGAAAACGTTACGTTTTCAAAGAATAGGAAATATGAACCCCAAAAATATTTTGGAAATTTGACGTTTGACATTTGATCTCAGTGCGTCAGCGGTCACGTCCTTGCCAAGTTTCAGCTTTTCATGTGTCTCCGTTTGATTGAAACAAAGAGAACTATTTGAAAAGATGTTCCCCGAAAAGGTGTGCCCCTATGGCATATATCACCAAAGTAGACTTTTTTCTTTACTCAGCTATCCATTAGGAACTCCTTTGCTAAGTTTAAACTTTCTAGCGCCCTCTGTTTTGCTGGATCAGAAAATTCGGGAAAATACGTCTTTCGCAAGATATGTGCCCTGAGTTGTTTTAGCTGAAATGTACCATTTTTTTAATTACCGAAATCCATTCTCAGTGCGCTATATGCCTAAAAATTTTCAATATTATATGATTTGCCTTTTCGCAGGTGAAAAACATGTTGGGATAGCCAACACACCCAAAAGCAATGCCCGGAGGTGATGCACCATGAAATCTGAATACTCCCTCCATCCAATATTATCATGTCACTTACACGTGTGCTAAGTTTCTCCTTTCCATTTCTGTCTAATTTGCTACGAAAATTGTTTTTTTGAAAACATTGCTCCTCGAAAAATTCCCCCAGGGAATGAAGACTTAACATTTTTATTTAACTCCTTGTCTCAGTAGTCACATTCATGCAAATTTTCAGCTTTCCATATTCATCAGTTTAACTGATACAATAAAATTATATTGAAACATCTACCCTTTGAAATGTTTGCCCCCAGGGCATTTACTTCCAAAGTCTGCATATTTCTGCAGCATCCCAATAGGTAGTTTGGTACCCAATACGTACCAAGTTTCATCTTTCCACGATAGCTGAATAAGCCAGTACAGAAAAAATACTTGAAAACGTCGGCCCCCAAAAATATCCCCCCAGAGCATGGATCTGAAATGATGCATGTTTCTTGAACTCATTGTCTCGGCAGGCACGTACATGCCAGGTTTCAGCTTTCCATATCTCTACGTTTTACTCAAGAAAAAATATTGTTATGGAGGGGGAATGAATAACGGGAATTGGAAGGCAAAATAAGTCAAAAGAATGCCAAGGAATGACCATTACACCATCGAACCAGAGACCCTCTGAATCCCATTCTCATACGAGTACATCACATCATTTATTTTAAAAAATGTTTTCCCCCGAAAATGTGTACTCCCAGGGTATGTATCTCCAAAGTCTGATTTTTTCTGAACTCTGCATCCCATAATGTACATATGTATCAAGTTTCAGATTTCTAACCTTTCTAGAACATGGTTAGAATTAGCGTCAGTCAGTCACGATCATCCATATATATTAGATACAGTATATGGGCACAAATAATCTAAGGAAGTCCTTCCTCTGGCGACATACAGTCTTCCATAAGAAAGTACGTTATTCTATCTCATATAAATATAGCCATATCTACCAATGGTCCCGTTCCGTTCAAGGAAGTACATGCATGGAAATGCCATTGACCTAAGCTTCCGTAAGTGTATAGCCAGACTAAATCTCAAAACCAAGAGTAAATCGTCTAGCCCTGTTGTAAAAAATTTTGGTATCTATTCGCATTCAGAAGCGAGCAGACAGGCATCAACCAGATTCCTTCCACTTACGTATGGCACAAGTGTGGTATTAGCCTTAGCGTCTATCTTTGAATTAGACCTGGACCTGGACCTCGATCAGTCCCCTTCAGTACGTACCCCATGGCTACGTTCCTTCGAATTCGGACTTGCTCTAAAGTAATCATTCTAACAGCTATTTGTGTATCGAATTTCAGCCTCACATCATTTTTAGTAGTATTGTCAGTCTCTCACGATCGTCTATATACAGGGCATTTCATTTAAATTTTACATCCTTAAGCGCACATATCTCTGAGATGATGCAAGCAACCTTGATGAAAATTGACCACAATACAAAACAACTTTTGCCAAAATATTCGACTGAGTTTTGTAATCGCAGCGCCCTCTATATGATTGAAAAACTGATTCTACCAAAACCTCTGAAATCAAGATCTTATCAATTTGATAAATTATTTTAAAGCTAATTATTCATTAGATTATGTCTTCATGCAGTAGCCCTGACAGTTTCATGATTTTATTGCATATCCTTATAATGTTAGTGTGATTTAGCGACTAAGTCAGCAAGATGCCATGGCTAGTTATGACGAAATATCTATATTTTGGATCAATATCTCCTAAATAGGCATTTTCCCTGTGATACCTCAAGACCCTCGAGGACAATTTGGAATTTGCCAAGACGTGTTGAAGAAGGATCTGACGTTCAAACTCTGTCATTTGAAGCTTCTTCATGAACTTAATGAGAACTAAATGACTTTGACCGTCGCACAGCAGTCCAGAGTGACAGGAAACCGGGGCGAAAATGCCCGACTCCCTTTTGGTCGATATAGGGGTGTGGGTTCGGCTACATGAAAAATACATTGTCCAATACTAATACGATTATGCCAATATATGACGTTTCGAGGCATTTCTACTTTCTTTGATTCGAGTCTTCGAAAGAAACACGGTATATTCTAAAGTCTTCGTTTCAGCCTTGTGATTACAAGCATCCTTGAAAAGGTCTCGTAAAAAAACGATAAAATGGTGGAATAATGGCCGCTATTTGAGGCCACTGTGTGTTGTTTCGAGAGGATTACTATCTTCAAGAGTTGTCTGGTCAGTGTGAGCATTGGTATTTTATTCATTGTTTGCCTAGGTACATTTCCAGAACATGAGTTTTCAGTTGTGCACATTTATTGACGGTATCTAAATTTGAAAAACTAAAGGAAAGAATAGAAACGGCACTTCCATTTTGGAAGTTATTTTCTCATGTTTCAGTATCTTTCAATAGCATTCTTCGTTTGAATGTAAAAGCTATTCTTGACTTCCAGAACATAATTATACGCATGATAAATATCAGCGTCACGTTCCATGGCTCCTTCTCAAATCAACTGGTAACCATGTTTGGACAGTTTAGAAGATAGAAGCAATGTCAATGCATCATCATATGAGTATGGTTTAGAGATACCAGTGGCAGGAAGATGATATGAAGCTCTAAGCAAAGCTGCCAAGGGTGCAGAAGATGAGCATGCCACTTTTTTAATTACATCAGCCGCATCTACTGTCCCTTCTGTCCGCGATGGCATCTGTGTAGCGTATGCGAGCTCAGTTTCACTCGCTTTCTGTTGTAGTTCTGATGTTTTTGACCTCTTCGTCCTCGAGGAACATTGGTTAAATGGAATTGAGGGCCTCCCCTTTCCTCCTCTTTCTTCCTCGCCGTCGTCTTCTGCCTCAGTATTCATTAGTTGAAATCTGCATCTAGCCCAGAACCATAATGATTGAGGAATACGCTCGGATTTTGGCCCGCATTTTCCCATCTCTGCTTCATGTTTCTCCTCAATTCGCCAACTGCTCGACGAAATGCCTGTTCAGATCTGAGGGGTGGGGTTAGATTATGAAAATCAAATCTTTGGAGGACATACCCCAATACCTTCGTATCTCCCGTTTCAGAGAAAATGTATTTCAGGCTTTCGAATCGCAATCGTGTGATTATGTCCCTCCGAGTTAACTTTCTGGACATGGGGAAAGATCAAATAACGGTCATTGTGAGTTTACTCGCAGAATCTCGCACCTGGATGGACGTCAAATGTCGACACTAGTAGTTAGGGAGCATGCCGATATGTTTTTATTTACGATCATCCATGGCCATCTCTAAGAAAATCGAGGTTGAAAAATAATGAATAATAACAAAATCTTGAAAATGGGTTCTCCACCCATTTTCAAGATTTTCATTCCTGGACTGTAACGTAATAGGTACGACAGACCTATACTCACCTGCCTGGCTTTCAGCAATTAGTTTTCAATGTGAGATCAAAGTGCATTCACAACAATGAATAACTTGTGGGAAAATCAAGAAAATATTTTCAGTTATCCTTGAGCGGGAGAATCCTACCACTTTTATTTTTTTGGAACGGCTCTACTCCTAAGAGTCGCGAGATGCGGTGTTGCTTTCTAGCTGTTACCATGCACTTTAGGACATCTCAGGATGAGATAGGATACATTTGAATGATTAAAAATTTTTTTTTTAGTATTTTCGCCCAGGTTTTCAGTCACTCTGGACCGCTGTGCGTCTGATTGGATTTTCAGAACTCTTTCTTGAACTTGACCAGGCTGATCCCTCATGGAAAGTCAGCATTCTATGGAGTGATGAGGCGATCTTAAGCCTGGCTGAAACGGTCAACCGCCACAATTGTGTTATTTGGGACCCACAAAATCCTAATCGTTTCGTTGAGGCGGACAATTTGAGCGCATAGAAGGTGATGGTTTTGGGCGGGAATATTTTCAACCGGTAAGGTCGGACCAATCTTCTTTGATCAGTCGGTGACAGTTGCCACCTACCTCCGAATGCTGGTTGAAGACCAGTGATCCTTTCAGTGATCTCCCAAAATAAGAAATTTGTACGCCTCGCCTTCCAACGAGATGGCACTCATCCCCTCCCCATTCCCTCCACTCTCCTCGAACAGTTTGAAATTTTCTGAATGAGACGTTTCAGAATGGATTGGTCGTCGTGGAACCATCGAGTAGCCGGCAAGATCACTAGATGTGACTCCCCCTGATTTCTTCCTCTCGGGATATCTCAAGGATCGGGTTTTCGCCCGTTCTCCTAGGGGTATTCCTGAGTGGATATATCATAAATCCTTCAGGATAAGTTCGACCCCATCCCTCAGGATATGGTTCAGAATGTCTACCTCTCAGTTCTCAATCGATGCCAGGTTTGCATTGAGATTGACGGCAAGCAAATCATGCTTCACAAAGGATAAAGGATTATGAATGTTTGATGGTGGATGGTGTCGTGGAGCCATGGGGAACCACTTGAAAACTTACCATGGGATGAACGATGGCTATCTCCATGTTGGTTCATCCTGGGTAACACTAAATCTGTCAATTGGAAGATGTCAATTTTTTGCTCTCACATTTTAAATTTGAGATTTCTGTAAGGATATGCAATAAAATCATGAAACTTTCAGGGCTGAATGGATCGAGGCTTAATTTAATAAATGATTGGCTTTAAAATATTTTATAACATTGATTAGATCTTAATTTCAGAGATTTTGGTAGAATCATTTTTTTTTAACCTGATAGAGGGCGCAGAGAATCTCGGTTGAATACTTTGGTAAAAGTTGTTCTTTATTGTGGTCAACTTTCATCAAGGTTGGTTGCATCCTCTCAGATATAAGAGCATTCAAAGATGTACAATTTAAATTAAATGCCCAGTATATTTGATGCAGAAACCCATTCTCTGTTTACCAATCTTTGGTGTATCGAGTGACATTTGGTCAATTAATTATTATCTCTCCACTCGTCGCACTTCGCTCTATACACTTTTCGCCTTCATTAGCATTACTGGCTAGCGAAGCGATGAATCAATTAGAAAGTGGTCCTCAATCCTGATGAAGATGCTTGAAGTCATGATTTAGGTTTAAAAAAATTTAAAATTTAAATAAAATAGTGAGAGGTGTAAATTTAAATCAGAGTTTTCAGTTGGATTGAGCCATGATTAAGTGTTTTTTATTGACTGGGGTTTTCACTTAGGTACAAATGTAATTTTCATTTTTCCTTGCCACCCAGTGGAACTAGAGGGAATAGAATACAACCCAGGTAACTCACATATGACAATGTTCTGGAAATGTTGTACCACAACATATGTAATGCAGTAACCTGTAGAGAACATTGTTATATAATCATAATGTCCTTTTCTAAGAAAATGACATTATGATTATGCATCATTATCCAACAACATCGTCCCTACACATCCTTTCTGGCGTGCAATTTTGTGTCGACATTAAGTGAGAACTGGTAATTGGGCCAGTGAGGGTTATTATCAATTATACTCAAATTATACTCGGGCACTTTCCCCAAAAGAGTGGAACGACCTTTCCTAAATATAAAACGAGTGTTTCCTCAGTTATTGTGCAAGAAATGTCTAAATTAAGTAATCTGAACACGGATTTTCAATGGTTTTCGTTTTCTTCAACCCCCCTAACCCACCCTTCTCTACGGGAATTACTACCATTATGCCTAGGCCTAATCAATAGACTGCCTTCAGGTCATGCCAAGGCCTAAATTTTTTTTTCAAAAGAAACTCAATTCTCGAATTAGAATTAGATATGTAGGGGTGTCTTAGTAGTCTTCGAGACATTGCGTTGAGAACGTGTTAGGCCAATTGCCTAATTGTCCAAGTCATGCGTTCACGAACCATTTCAGAGAGGAAGTGTACCGTTAGACCGATTTGAGGCCTGTTTCGCGTTTCATGAAATATACTCAACCAAAAAATAAGTGATACCAAGAAGGAGATGAACGATCTTGATGAAATTTGGAAAACATACTTGTATTAGTGTCATGAAATTGACGCGAGTTTCAATATCGTAGGTTGCCTATTCACTGGAAAATCTTGCTAAAACGCATAATTTGGACAGTTTTTTTTTTAAATCTAAATTGCGGACATATAAGCAGTCAGTGGAACGTTCCCAAAGACGTTCATGGAACGCTGGAAACACATTAAATGAGACGTTCTTTGAACACTATCGGATACTATTGGTAATTGGGTAGTAGTCTCCGAAGATCACGCTTACTCCTTCCAGAAAAATAGACCACTTCGTTTCTTCCAATTTGCAGTAGAAATTAATGACTAATATGGACATTAACACTCGTAAACGTCCATGCTAGTCAACGTCTGACCAGGAATAGACTGAGCGAACGCAACATAATCATTTACCAAGTTTCTTCCAATACAGTTTTCTCAGTATTCGTACTAATGGAAATCAGGATTTCCAGAGAAGTCAGTGCTACAGGCTCGGTATACCATCGATGGCGAAATTGAATTCTGACTTTGATGACAAGATCGTCGTCTTTCTCGATTCCCTGAGAGTCCCCAAATCCAGGCGTGTCGATGACAGTGAGAGTGTAAGGAATTAGTATTCCCTCTTGCCAATTAAAGGAATATGCAGAAACCCTATGCGTCTGGCTGTGAGCCTTTCTGCTCTGATCCAAGTCCGCCTCCTCTGTTATGACCTTGAACCGGAATCCGTCCTCCCACTGAACTCCGTAAATGTAATTGGCCAGTCCATTGATCATCGTGGTCTTCCCTGTGGGGTGGAACCAATAATAGTCACCTCAATAAATCTTGATGAAAATGTGTCATTCTTAAGATACGTCACTAAAAAAATATATAATTTACTCCTCCACAAACTTACGGTTATCCCAAAATAAATCCTTGCAAACTTCACAAGACCATAGATGGAACATGATAGTTTGTATTGCTAAGAAAAGTTCAGGGTGTCACATTCAACATATGTGTATTAGTTTCACTGAATTTTCTAGTAAGTTCCTCGTTCAGAGTCCTAATCAGAGCTATTTTCCCAAGTGAAGTAAATGGAGAAAATGTGGCAATTGACAATGCGCTATTGGCTAGAAGAAAAGATATTCGATGGGTCATATTTTCTGGTCCGTAACAGCTCGAAAGTGCTATTTTCATCGGGTGATTTACTTACTAATTGAGTCATTATTCTCAGAAGCCATACTCCCTCAACCCTGGCCTTAGGCTAATCAAGTGCTGCAAAAGGCAAGCCCCATCCATTATGAACAATCTCCTTCGATTCGTTCCATGCTTTGCTGTCAAGAGGATATTTGGTACATTAGGAGAAGTGGGTAAGCACTCATTTTCTCGAATGAAATGAGAATGGTTGTTTTTTTAAATACACCTAAACAAGTTGGCATTATATGAGGTAGATTCTTTATGCTAGACGTCTACGCGCCATTTTCAAAACTTAGAATGAAGGCTCAGGTTAAGGAAGTGTGGCCTTTGGTGGCCAATTCAATTACGAAGTAAATCTACCAATGAAAATAGAGCTTGCGAGCGGTTATTGTCCAGAAAAAGCTACCATCAATCAGCTTTCCAATTTAGCTCAGTTGCCTTAACATTGCACACTTTCTCAAGTGATTTCAGCTGTTGGTAGGAATGCCCAGAAGGGTACTGACCGAAAAACTTCATTGTAACCTTTAGGAGCCAATATTGTGCATATGTATTATACTAGCGGATTTTTTTTCCCAAAGGGCAAACAATTTCGCTATGCGTTCGGCGCTATGCGCTCCATAACAAATTAATCATAATATACTTAAGCATCCCTTTTCGATTCTCATACCTGCAAATTGGTCAAAACTCCTTGGGATATTTGTATTTTTTATTTTGTGTTTAAGCTACTCCTACCTGTGTGAAGTGATTTCCAACCTGATGCTACCAGTACAGAAAAAGTTTCAACATGTTGAAATTGAAAGCGGTGAATCAACATCTATTCAAGATGGGTTCAACAGTATTAACCGTTGATTCACTGGTGATTTACCGTTGATTCACCGGTTTTCAACGCCTATTCAACAGGGGTTCAACACTATTCACCATTGAGTTATAATTATTATATTATATTATGAATAATTTATTCATAGCAAACTGTATGGAAATGCACAGTGAAAAGTGATTTTAACAAATAAATAGAGATGAAGCAATATCAATGATGGAAATACTCTGATGTAATTCTCGCCTCATATGATAGGTGTAACATTAACCATTCAAGTGGTTTCGACGTCACTGTGATGTCCGCTATGGAATACTCGCATCTACACCGACGGAAAGACGTGAGAGACGTCCAGCATGGTACAGTATTGCAATTCAATGACATCTCATGGATATATTACCGCCGCAGAGAATGTTCCGCCTTGTTTAATGACCGACTGGACACTGAGGCTATGTTTGAGATATATTAATCACAGCACCCATGTGGGTGTTGTGATCTAAGAATAAAAACATGACTTGCACAAGAGAATCAAATCGTGCAATAGTCGGCAAAATTTTATATCTAAGCAATATAAACTCACGACTTGTCGGTCTAATTATTAGTCTCAAAATTCCGAATGCATTTTACATTAGCCTTTACCGGGCTGAATAGCTCAAAGTTCACAGATCCTGAGATAAGCTAGCCTAGCGTCAAATGAACCAATTCACAAAACTGCACAACATCTTTAAGTCGAACTACTGACACTGGGAGAGACTGAGTTGCAGTTCTGACGGCTACCGAGAGATGTGGGGAATAGCATAGTTCAATCACGTCTCACAATGATAACAAAGACAAGCGCGACAGTGCTAGGGGAAATTTCCCCTAAGCATCAGCTAAATATCGGGGATTCCCCTCTTTCCCCTTTTTTCCCCTTTCCTAAGCTGTCAGAGGACAGTTTCTTTTTTTTTCAACACCCGCTGTTGATTCACCGGTGAATCAACGTTGATTCAAACTTGAAACACATCTCACCAGTGATTCACCGTTGATTCAATGGTGAATAACCGGTGAGATTTTTGTACGAGTAGGATCATAAAACCAGCAGATTCTCCATTTCCCCAGAATTGGAACCTAATAGTTTATCCTCAACATAGAATCTTCTATAGCAAGACAGTGGGAATCAGCTTTCTCTGAGCGAATAAAGCAATTTTACACATTCCCCCCTACGAAAAGAAGACCTCAATAACGCCGGTAATGAATTCCAAGCGCTTCTTTACCACCAAAGTACTTTATATCCCCTGGAAGCGTGTACAAAAGATTTCAAATTTCCTTGAATTCATTTTTTCTAGAACTATATGAGAGTCTGTTTTGCTGAGGCAAAAATTATTGTATTGGAAAACGTTTCCTGCCAAAAATTCGGCCTCTAGAGGATAACTTTTTAAAGCGAAAAATTAATTTAAATTAGCATATCCATCGGAACGTTCATATTCCTTTTTAGCCTTCTATGTCTCTCAATTAGGCTAGTCAGAAAATCATATAAACCATCTCCTTAAAAAATGTGCCCCCTGGGCATATATATCTGAAAATTGATGTTCCTGGAAATCAGCTCCTCAATATGAACCTTCCAGTTCATTTTCAACTTCATTCTGCAGCAGACGGGTGTCGAAGCAATTGTCCGACGGCAACAAGCAGGAACGCATGGCAGTATTGCTCGAGAACCTTCAGCGATACGCTGAAGAAGCGACGACTTTTGTGTCGCATCATCACCGGCGATGAGACATAATGCACCACTGTACTCCAGAAACGATTATGGAATCAATAACATGACCCGGTTCCCGTTTCAGAAAGAAGTTCAAGACGACGCCGAGTGCTGGAAAGGTAATGGCAACCATCTTTTGGGACGTTCACGGGAAAATTCTCATCGATTTCACTCCACGTGGTGAGAAAATAAATGCCGCAGCGCATCAGGCGACGTTCACACTAATGAAACAAGCTATGCAACAGAAGAGGCCTGGACTGCTGTCACAAAAAGTTCTCCTATTTCACGATAATGCCCGCCCACACACTGCTCGCTCCACGTTGGACCTTCTCAGCACCTGGCGATGGAAAACTGTTCACCACCCACCATACAGTCCAGACCTGGAGCCGTCGGATTTTCACTTGTTTGGGAAGCAGAAGAAGCATCTCTGAGGGCGACGCTTTCCATCGGATGACGCCGTCAAAAAGGAAGTCACAAAGTGGCTTCAGGACCAGGACGCGTCCTTCTGTCGGCTGGGCTTCGATAAGCTCATCGACCGTTACGACAAGTGTCTTAGCAAGTTTGGTGACCGCTTGGAAAAATATTGCTACGTGAGGAAATTTCCTGTATCATGTTTTCCATGCAATTACCTGCCCATCGAATAATTGAAATAGGGAACCTCACTTTCTGACTTACCCTCGTATATATCGTCCGAAAGAACTTGAAAAGAGCTTCCAAATGGCACAGGTTACATGTTTGGATCTTGTTTAATAAGGAAAAAAGAAGCCAAGTTGGTGAAAAGCTTCAAAATTGGACATTTCAAATTCGACTTTCCGCTGTTTCAAACAAAGTGATAACTTGAGATCTAAAACTGAAAAACAAGGACTCACCAATATACTTCAGAATTTCCTCCGTTATGTCATCTCTTTGCATTTCTTCCAGAATCTCCATAACAATATGATAGGTCAACTCAGGGTTTTTTTCACTTAAGATGAAGAATACCTTGTCGACCTTTTCGGAATACTTATTCAAATTATTCAGTTCCACTTCCGTTGCTATAGGAATGAGTTTTTTCTTCACTAGCTCATCGAAGAACTGGGCCATGTCTACCATATTGCCATTCTTCAATATTTCTCTTAGATGCCGCAACGCACCCTGGCAATCCATTTCTCCAGATCGAAAGGTGCTATAAGACAGAGTAAAATAATAACTTTTCCACACATCTTAGTCTAATCGTCGGATGTGCGAAAAAAACGGAAATGCTTCTTAATCACATTCTTAATTCTGAGAAATTATTTTCTCGACGTAATTCCCCTTTTCTTAAAAAATAATCAAAAGCATGAATCATGAAAACAAGAACTCTTTGAATGTAAAATCTTCTGCATCTTAATGTCACAACCCTGTACTTGAAGAAGTCTATAATTCTATTATTCAAAAAACTACGCATTTTCTAGCATCCGGGTGCGGACGAAGAGCATTAATGCCTCCTGTGGAATGTCTGAATACTTATCTTTCAAATGGGAAACTAAGTCTGAAATCGAAAGGCCCCCATTCTTGAATCTTCCCCGATGCCAAGTTTGAAAATCCCTTTCCAGTTTCCTTACATTTTGTAGTTAAGACGTGCTAGGCTTAATCAGGCCACCTCTATCAATCTTTTCCAACCAACTGCAAGGAACCGCTTCATTTCCATAACTCAGATCTGGACCTTTCATCTGAAAGCGATGAAGCCTGCAACTTTTTGTAGTGCCTCATTACTGTCATGACTGTCATTGCCAGCGTCATCTTCATGGAAACAGCAAATGTTAGTGACTTGATCTAGATCTCCAGGTTAAATGAATTCAGGAGGTCCTGACTCATTTCTGCATCCAAGAAATTCGTTTGGGAATGATGGCGATTCATCAGGGAAATTATAGGAAATGCCAGCAAATTTCCTAGTTGATCGTTTGCCGGAGAAGTAGAAGCTGATTCGCAACTGTGAGAAGAACTAGGATTTAAAAAAATGTGCCATCTTTCACCTCAGCAACAGAAGCCCCTTCAATTCTCACGATGTTCTTTCCGCAAGTGAGGAGCAGTGACCGAAAGCGATGTCTTGCGGAAACTGGAGAGGGATTCACATATGTACTCCCGAGAGCTCTAAATTGGCCAAAGAAATTCTCCAGACAATCCTGATTTAACCAACATGTCAAGATGTATGTTGCTCGGTACTGATCTCGTACAAAGTGGAAAAGACCACACAGAGAAGCGATTGAAATCAGGATTCCCTTTTGGAAAGGCAAGTAGTGCTTTGCGCCGCATGTTTTGACATGGTGTGGTCATTATCTCCAGAGCTGCATCCTGGGCATGCAGTTTGTGGCCGTATCCAGACTTCTCAGGTAGATCTCCCATTGGACATCTACTGTTGAAAATATCGAAATAACCATTGACTGTGTCAATGAAGTCCGCCAGGGGATCAGACTGTGGGACACAACATCTCAGTCCTTGGGCTACAGTGTGCGATAGTAACTGGATTGCAGGTCATACTCTCTGTTCCTCGACAGTTTCTTATGCCTTCCAGAAATTTTATGACACAATCTGACATTTCCTTTATCTAGAGAAATTAACCCCTGCAAGTGATTAGGATTTCGCCAGTTGAAATCCCTGGTCAATCAGATGATTGCGAATCAAAAGGCCCAGTTTCAATTTCACAAGGTGAGGATCGGCCGCAAAGAAAAAAATGGGCTGAGCTGGATCACAGGGGTGCCAGCTATAGCTCTCCTCATGTGTAATGCGGAGTTGCTTCCACAATGACATGTTTTGGCCTCCCATATCACAGACATTGTGAATGTTTTGGGGGAGAGAGCCCTGAGAGACAAAGTCTACACCAATTCACCATGACCCCACTGTTTTGGCCTCTTTCCTCCCTTGAGAACATGTAATTGTGCAGAAGAAAAATGTCCTTCCAACAATTTTACATGAGCACTTTCTTTTTTTCGTGATTTGGAGAACTCGGCAAGCTTTTTCTTGGGACATTTCACATCCTTCTTGAGTTTTAGATTTTCTAACCTTACTCTTTGTAATTTTACTTTTAGACCTGATAGAATCCTGATTTTCAATTTAAATTTCTCTCTGATATCAGGGCAACATTTCAATGGAATTGAGAGATTTGTCGTTTCAGTTATCTCCTCACTCTGTCTCATTGATACCTCAATTTGCATTTGATCTTGATCAAGGTGTGGAGGTTCATCAAGACAAAGTGGAACGGACGATTTTTTTGGAAGCTTGTTCTCATGTACCCCTTCATAGTCACTTGGAAGAAAGTGACTGGAGCAAACAAAGCTCCTTGTCCTATCCTGCAAGTCCATTCGGCCACAAGCTGATAACCATTTCTCCGTGGCTACATCATCCCGTGGTAATAGGTGGAAGGTGGTGGGTGGATCATGATGACACGAATTTCTCCATGTATTTCTACAGGCGGGTACAATGCAGGATTGTCCGCTGCTTTTACCCATTTTTATTTTGCTTTCAAAAGATGAAGCCGATGGGTAAAAGAGCAGTCGAGTAGAATATCCACACACGACGAAGGAAAACCTACGAAGAAAGGAAAGGAAAGGCCTAAACAGAAATGAGAATCATGTAAATAGCCTCGGGTCTGCAGCGCTGTCAGAGACAAGAAACAGCGAAAACCAGACGTAGCTGCCTCGGCGCGGGCTCAAAAGAGAATGAGTGGAATAGGCGCAGTCACGGCCTTTTATAGTGCAGTCACTTTAACGGCATGTGAAACAAGCCTTTACGCGCCTAGCCACTCTGGAGGGCCTTGGTTCAAAGTCAACCATGTCATTGATACAGTTTTGTCCCTCACACTCGGACATTACAGAAATTCGAATTTATCTATACTCCGTGCATTCACCTTCGGCCTTCCGCACTACCAGTACCCTTCTAGACATCCTCTCGATCAGGTCCAAGCATATTTGGTCGGGAATGGCATCACACTCGGTTATGACCCGCCGCCACAACACGTGGATGATTTTGCATCCATACAAAGACTGAATGCCAATTAGGAAGCCAATATGGGAAGGAGGAAATGTGCAAAGCTGAAAATATTGCAAGGCCCCATTGCCCCATTCTGCAGGACTCAAAATCACCTATTCTCGTCCTGCTGCCTCTTGCTTTTCGCGTTTCTTTCCTTTTCTGATAGTCCCGATTTTCCTGATGTTATTTGACTCTCCTAAAGCCGTATGCACACCTCTACGTGGTAGGAAAGAGGCAATTATTCATCAGAAAAAGTATAGGCTGACGTGCACCGCATTGACTAAAAGGGATGGGATGCAATCCTTGCATCCCAATTGCAATCCTTGCAATCCTGTTCACACATGCTAAAAACAATCGCCAACAGTTGAGTCATGAAAACAGCTACATCCCCAAAGCAAGCCTCCATTCTATCGAAGCGAGCTAAGGCGAATCACATCCCAGCTGTGACGTCACTACACGCACATTCACGTGCCTCAAGTGACTGCGCTCCCTCTCCACTCGAGCCACTCGAGCCTATCTGATAGTCTATGTATCTTGACTTTGAACAGCTGCAGTTCAGCCAATAAGAGGCACGTGACTAGCACCAATCGAAAGCCAGGAAGTAGGAGTATGACTGAAATTTAAATTAAATTGAACACGTCATATTCTAGTTATGAGACATAAGCTGGAACTGTCAAACATTGACACAGTTTTGTCCCTGACTGTATATGAGTGTTACAAATATTTTTAAAGCTAATTTTATTCTCATTTAATATTTGTTATTGAACAGTATTATCGCTGGGGTGGTTGGTGATGACGAAAGGCAACGTGTGATAGACCGCATTTGAGCATACGCCATTGGAGAAGTAAGGGAAGCAGGCGCAACCTTTATCAATTGAAAGTGAATATCTCACTACGGAATCGCAGTGAGAGATTGAGTTATTGACTACTGGCAAAAAGGATACGTATCTTTTTTACGAAATTTGATTAAGGAGAAGTTGTCTGACGTAAGCAAGAAAATCGTGATGGAGAACAGTGGAATAAGACAAAGAAAAAGGCTGTGGTCGAGTTACAAAAATCATTTCAAAATGGTGTGGAAAGCTAATCAGACGATGATACCGTATCAAGAGAGGGATGAAGGCTTTAAGGGAAAAAAAAAGAAAGCATGATGATTAGTGAGCTTGATCCATCCATCCATCCATTTTCTTTTCCCACTGTCCGTTAGGGTCGTGGGGGCAGACGCTCTAAGGCGGACTTCCACTGGGGACGATCTTCCGCCACCAGGCGTAGTTGTTGGGTGGGTAGATCCAAGCTTGAAGATCCGAGGTTTTCTATGTAGTCTAGCCAACTAGTCCTCGGTCGTCCCACTGGTCTCTTCCCACCAGGCTTGGCATACAGAAGCTGTCTGGAAAACCTTTCCTGTGGCATCCGGATTAGGTACCCGTACCAACGCAACTGCGATCTCTCGATCCAGAGAAGTAGCGGCTCGACATGTAGAGATCCCCTTATGGTTGTGCTACGAACTCTGTCGAGTAGCGTGACACCTTCAACACCCCTCAGGAATCTCNCAAACGAATTTATTGGATGCAGAAATGAGTCAGGACTTCCTGAATTCATTGAGCCTGGAGATCTAGATCAAGTCACTAACATTTGCCGTTTCCATGAAGATGACGCTGGCAATGACAGTCATGACAGTAATGAGGCACTACAAAAAGTTGCAGGCTTCATCGCTTTCAGATGAAAGAGTACCTGTCCAGATCTGAGTTATGGAAATGAAGCGGTTCCTTGCAGTTGGTTGTAAAAGATTGATAGAGGTGGCTTGATTAAGCCTAGCACGTCTTGGCTACAAAATGTAAGGAAACTGGAAAGGGATTTTCAAACCTGACATGGGGGAAGATTCAAGAACGGGGGCCTTTTGATTTCAGACTTAGTTTCCCATTTGAAGGGTAAGTATTCAGACATTTCACAGGAGGCATTAATGCTCTTCGTCCGCACCCGGACTTTCTTCCGCATGCAAAGACTAAATGCCGATTAGGAAGCCAATATGGGAAGGAGGAAATGTGCAAAGCTGAAAATATTGCAAGGCAACGAAAATATTGCAACCCCATTCTGCAGGACTCAAAATCACCTATTCTGCTGCCTCTTGCTTCTCGCGTTTCTTTCATTTTCTGCTTGTGCTGATTTTCCTGATGTTAATTCACTCTCCTAAAGCCTCTACGCGGTAGGAAAGAGGCAATTATTCATCAGACAATGTATAGGCTGACGTGCACCGCATTGACTGAAGGGAATAGAATGCAATCCTTGCTTTTGTCCTGTTCACACACGCTAAAAACAATCGCCAACAGTTGAGTCATGAAAACAGCTACATCCCCAAAGCAAGCCCCCATCCTATCGAAGCAAGCTAAGGCGAATCATATCCCAGCTGTGACATCACTACACGCACATTCACGTGCCTCGAGTGACTGCGCTCCCTCCTCGGCCGCTAGGCCGAGGAGGGAGCCACTCGAGCCTACTGATAGTCTATGTATCTTGACTTTGAACAGCTGCAGTTCAGCCAATAAGAGGCACGTGACTAGCACCAATCGAAAGCCAGGAAGTAGGAGTATGACTGAAATTTAAGCTAAATTGAACACGTCATACTCTAGTTATGAGACATAAGCTGGAACTGTCAAACATTGACACAGTTTTGTCCCTGACTGTATATGAGTGTTACAAACATTTTAAAAGCTAATTTTATTCTCATTTAATATTTGTTATTGAACAGTATGATCGCTGGGGTGGTTGGCGATGAGGAAAGGCAACGTGTGATAGACCGCATTTGAGCATAGGCCATTGGAGAAGTAAGGGAAGCAGGCGCAACGTTTATCAATTGAAAGTGAATATCTCACTACGGAATCGCAGTGAGAGATTGAGTTATTGACAACTGGGAAAAAAGGATAAGTATCTTTTTTTTACGAAATTTGATTAAGGCAGGCCGGAGAAGTTGTCTGACATAAGCAAAAAAATAGTGATGGAGAACAGTGGAAAAAGACAAAGAAAAAGGCTGTGGTCGAGTTACAAAAATCATTTCAAAATGGTGTGGAAAGCTATTCAGACGATGATACCGTATCAAGAGAGGGATGAAGGCTTTAAGGAAAAGAAAAGAAACCATGGTGATTAGTGAGCTTGACTCTTACCGAAATTGTGTAGCTGTTGTCCCGCAAAACTTCTAAATTGTTATTCATGTATTAAAAAATGAAAAAAACTTTCTGTAAATTTGTTAAAATTATACCCTCATCATTTGTGGGCTGTACATGAAGCCAATGGCAGTCACACAAAACATTGATGCTTTACTGTATTCAGGTTGAATATAGGTTTAAATTTTTATATAACTCACAATTGTTCTATTTGTACTTGGTTGTACCCCCCTAGTAAAAGATTATGCAAAATCCTATAGATTAGGCTTACTTGTAAGGGATGAAAATTACACTAGTCATCATTCTGGTTTTCCCTTACTTTCCTCAAGTAAGGGAAAACGCTGCAATTTTCGCACCATGCTACCCAATCATTGAGGTTACTTCGGTATTGTTTTGCATTATTTTGTTTCAGAATTAAGTAACGATGGACTTCAAACTGGCGGTTAGCGACAGAGCACATATTTCTGCCCATTACGAGGTGTGGGGCTCGATTGTGAAGGTGCAGCGTTGGTGGCGAAGTGTTAAAGGGGTGCACACCACGCTTAGCAAAATCACAATAAGGAATTGTTGCAAAAATCTTCTAACTAAAGGGTCAGTGCGTGATTTACCCAGAACTTCGAGTGAACATGGACTTCCACTGCGACAATGTTGTCACCTGTTCTGAGGTGGATGGTCGACCATCCACCTCAAGAACGGCTCAAGAAACTTCTCTCTGGGACTATTTACATACATCTCTGGGACTATTTACATTTCTTGAGCCACGTTAGTGCACCCTCCATGAGTTTCATTACATGTAGATTTTTAGAATCTGCACCTGTCACCAAACATATCGCTTTAGAGTATTGGCCCGATGAAAGCACCTTGGTATCACAATTTGACAATGTCCAAACCTTTATGGCATTGTTGGATGACCACTGTTCACTCAGGTAATTCTTCCACTTGCTGAATCGGAGAACACTTGTTGGTTAGATTATTTCTCTTCACTCATGGTTATAAAATGTCAAGAAGCGGTCAATGGACCACTTCATAATATGCATATTGGCGAATGCCGTTGTCAATCATTATCGTCTAGTCATTGTGATGGCGACTGCGGATCGTGCACTTGGTTGCAGAAGAT